GGGGGGGCGGGTCACCATTTGAGAATAGAGGCGAAAGGGGGGGGGGGAAATAGTTGAGAGACAGCCTGTTTATGCCTCGGGCATTGCTTAACGTCGATGCCACGGACATTGCTTAACGTCGATGCCACGGACATTGCTTAACGTCGATGTACACTCGACTGGTATCGCGAAGGCTCGATCCGTCGAGAGAAGGGACTTCGTTTTTCCCTTGGGCACTACAGAGGTGGTAATTATGGAAATTCTCGAAATTCATTCAGGAAGCTCCAAAAGGGAAGGTGGAAGCCATCGGGAATCGCTTCGGAATGACAAGTGACCCTTGGTTGTTTTAGGCTTACGTGGGATGACGTTGCGTTTCCTTTCAGGCGGTTGTTTTTTTTTGTTTTTTACGTCTCGGTAGATTTATATATTTTTTTGCTCCTTGTTTCTTTTTGCTGCGAGCGGTCTAGCAAGGACGGTACTTTTCGAGTTCAAATAAGCACGTCTGCATGATATTGACTCCGAAGATGTCATCAAGGTGGAGAGAATTAGCAGTTCCGGGGAAATCGCGTTCGGGCGCCAGGCGATCGCGAATGCGATTGGCAGCTCCGTGTCGTAAACGGGGGCGAAATCGTTCCGCGATGCGGGGTAGACGGCGACACGGTCTTCTGCTTTCCGCAACTGCGCGGAAACATTTAGGGAATTTTTCACAACAGAGAAAATGAATTTCCGCATAAGGGTAATTTTCTCTCGAGTGGAAAAAAAATAAACAAACACGGGATATATAGGGTGATTAAAAATAAACGCTCCACCATTTTCTATGAGAGAAAGTAAGATCCGTACATTCGAGCAAAAACGATAAGATTGATAAACTTTTGATATTGGACATATACAAGATGTTGAGAAGATTGTCTGGGTTTTCTCAGAACAATTCTTTGAACTGCGCATTGTCTTGTTACAAAGTATACAGATGGATCATTACACCTCAAATGCAGTAATGGTCTATGCTCCATCATCTCAAAATTCAATTAGGAGAGTTTGCCCAGTTTTGGCCTCAAACCGATTTTGACTAGATTCATAATTTTTGAATTGGCTTCAAGACAAAATCTTTTGAAAGGGCTCTCAGACACAAAGGATATTTTGCAGAGAGGCTTATTGTAAGGTTTAAAGGCTCAAAAAAAAACCCTAGTTTTTTTTTTTCCCTAAGAAGTACCGCAGCACGAAGATTGGAGGACCTCCGATTAAAAGCAGCGCCCTCTATCGGCATACAGCTCCGTCTTGCGGATGTACAAAATCCTCTCAGGCTCATGAACTTCTCTGTCTAGCATCAGCCGCATCCAATTGTCTCTTGAAAAGTTAGAGTCAATCAATGTAGGATGGTGACATAATAACTGTAGTCGAGAATTTAGCATCTCTGGGTTGGGGGCCATTTTGTGCCCCCAAACCCCCAAATCAAATTTAAACACACCTTTCTTGGCCTCCGCTCAAAGTACAGACATGTTTTTTTTTATTATCTGCGGGTTATTCTCAAAATAATCCGACCGCTGGTCAAATTTCATTGAATTCTGAGACGGTAGAGCACAGATCATTACCTCACATAGGGGGAATCATCCACTTCTAGGCACTTTTAATACACCTATAAGAGGACATTGCATGACTTAACCAGAGTTACTGAAAAAAAGCTGACATGCATCTCAACACATTGTCCAACATCGATTGCGTAGTCAATGTAATTTTTTTTTTTGCTTTATGAAACTGTGTTTCTCCCATAGAAAACGGTAGAGCGTTTATTTTGAATCACCCTATATACGATTTTCTTCTTGAGTCTGGGACGAGAATACGACCCTTTGTGTTTTTGGACGCTGATGAATATGAGCATTTGTCAAATTCTCATGACGTTCTGACACAATTCAATGCGATTCAATGGAGTGGGTGAAAATGAATCAAGTCGAATGCATGCTTTCTCCAATCCCCGTGTGTTTATTCCTCATTTTCGAATTCCCAAGTACGATAGGCACGTGGAGAACACGTAACAGAACAGATGGAAACACAAAGACCTCAAGCAAATTTTCCTGGCTAAAAAAAAAAAAGGTAAAAAAAAAGAAGAAAAAGGAAGAGGAACCTTCACATATCCTCTATGGGGACCCAGGGTACTTATGACACCGCTTCGTAAGAGGCAACATGAAACTAAGACCCAAGACAGCACGGAGAAAATGGCAACAAGAAGACGAGGTTCTGTAGTAATGGCACCGTCTTTTAATGGCAAATGACGAAAAGTGCAAACCAAACTCGTGCCCAACTTTCACAACAAAATCTCAGCCCTAAACATTGCCATACAGTATTCATGTAATAGATTACAATTTCCGAAAGGAAAAAGGGGGGTTTCCAACACTCTCACAACAATCACCTTAGGCAGACGTTTCGCTCAGCCAAGTATTGGCATTTACAGCATGCAAGAGCATTCTTGTCAAATGGTGAGAAATTATTGCTTGAAGGGATGGATTGACTTCACATTTTCTTGCTTTAAGTAGGGAGGCAACGAGTCAATGAGATGAAAAACTGGCAAGGCTCAACCAATTTTCCATCAGAAATTCATACACTGTTGATTCATGTTTTGAGACTAGAGCCAGGAGGCAGCAACACATAATATGGCTCGTATTTCAAAGACCCTGCAACTGAGTTCCTGAATATGAGTGAGGAATCCAATTTACCACATAATCTTAGCATCACATCATACCAGCACAACCAACATGATCCTGCTTTCATTTTTATGAAGGAAAAGCATTATGGCATTTAACACGTTCACTGCATTAAAACCCTGATATGCATTGGGACCTACCTGTGTCCCATGCAGCACCTGATTTATATGTGGTGAAACACCCTGATGGGTCACAGAATTCTGACATCATGGTGTCAAGAAAATAAAAAAATTATAATTTTTACACACAAGCAGTTCTTTCAATTAGGTGTCAACACAGTGAACATGTTAAGTACATGAGGCACAGCCAGCAAACAAAAGGGCAAACAAGGAGAGCAGGGCACTGAAGTGGAAATGGAGATTTACGCACATATCACAAGCAGCAATCACAGACTTTCTTTGCAAAAAACTGACATGATTGAAGCGGTTCCATATGGAAACCACTCATAGGAATTATGAAAATATGTTGTACAATCAATGGTATTGAAAAAAAGGAAAGGAATCAATGGCATCACTATGCTCATGAATGTGGCAAGGGTTGTCAGCTGAGCACCAGTGTAGGAAAGGCATCTTCAGGATGCATATCTGCTGTACCCATTTCTTCAGCCTTGAGAGCATGGGTTTCAAAACAGTTTGGCTCTGGTTAGATGATGCATGTTTAGCTGCACTTCTACTTTTCCATAAAAGGAGACTCACCCTCCAGTAGTAAAAAAATCAGATAACCTTAGAGCATTGTATGCTGATCATGCATGCACCTCATACTGACTCAGAACAGAAAGCTACAGGAATACCTGGAGAAGCAAGATGTAACAACTGATCTCCATTTGCAAAATATTAGCTGTGCAAGCTTCTACCAAGACACGGAGAACATTCATTAAACATTACTCCCAATGCTTCCTTTTCTGTTCAAACAGAAACTCAGCGCCTAACTCACACAATGAATCATTTGGAATGACCATGCCTAGATGACACTAGATGGAAACCTTCCATTATGTCCCTGTACATGTATGCTCATCATTCTTATTCTCAATCCCAGGCCAACTCATATCTGATCTATGTGCCTCGGAAAGACTTGATGGCAAGGGGCAATAAATACTCTCCATATCTGAAGCAGGAGAGTATGCTCTCAAGCTAAGTACCAGATAGAGGAGGCATGGCAGATTTGTGAGAATTGGTTCTTAAAAAAGACTGAATCTGCTCTCTACATCTTTATACATCTTGAGTCTTGCTCAGTGTACCTGCCTCAGCACTTGTTCCTTGGAGCAAAAAGGATGGAGTGCAGAGGAAGCAAGTTGGGAGCATATGGTTTTCATCATCTTATCATTGGTCATAACCAAGAGAATACCCTCAGAAAAGGAAAAACAACATGAGAAAACATTTAAGTACATTCATGCTTATTGCTCCAAATGGAGGCCAAAGGTCAACGAGGTAGAGTTCTTTCCTCATGCTCACACAAAGGCATACTTCCTTTATTGCCCTTCCTTTACTAAGTCCTTCAGTCCCTCTCATGTACCTGCATGTAGCAACATAGCAATCTCTGGAATTTTAGCATTTTTGGGAGAAAGACCCTTCCCTAAAAACTAAGAAACTGAGGTATTTAGGCACCAGCTTAGATGAATAAACATTAGCTACATCTCATATGTACACCTCAAGAAAGAAATGTAACAGACCAGCCCAATGAAGCCCTGTGCAATCAAACCATAATAGACAAAAAACTAACCAATGAATGTGGAATTACCAAGTTGCAGAATTTCAGAGTTGATGGAAGATCTTTTCAGAAATGTGCCACTCAAGAACCATAGCATCAATGCTTATTTAAAAAAATGATGCTGAGTAAAAAAAAAAAAAAGGTCTGTTGAGAATAAATGCCTAGGAAGTTTCAAAACATGAAATTAGTCAAAAGTTTTGAAAGGCAAATCCACTCTGTTCATAATCACTTCCTGCCAAAACAAAAGGAATAATAGCTGCAAAGGCATCTGGACAGACATCCTAGAGCCTATATATGAATAGGCGTTAGTAATAGGATACTAACTTTAGTAAGATACTCAAGTGCATTCTTTCCAGAAGACAGCATTTTACAAGAGTTAGCAGCACTTTCATTAGGACCTATGCTTATTGCCAATGAAAAAGGCCCTTCTAGAATGAAGGAAGGCTACATAAAGAACATGAAGCCAGAAAATCAATTCCACATTGGTGCAAGGAGCAGCTAAATATTTTCTCCAGATGATGCATTTACTAGCTCCGTGAGAAAGTCCTCCAAGGCCGACACCATAACCAGCTAGCAACATGCTGAATATTTGGGTGAGTGTAATACTTCCCCTTTGGAGACTCACTGAAAGTTTCCACTTATGTCTGAGCAAATGATTCAAAGTAAAAACTTCAATGGTAGATTGTTGCAAGTCTGACAACAGAATATGCAATTCCTGCATTTTTCAAGAAGGCAAGAATATGCCAGTTTCTGGAATATTTGAAAGAAAATTTAGAAATAACTACTTTTTGCAGTGGAAAGCTGAGAGTCTGAGTTCCCCAGCCCACAGTAAATATTCTTTGATTATCAACATTCTACCTGGAAGAGATATAGTTCATTGCCCCCCTGAAAATGTTCAAGATGGCATATTTGCCCCTATGTCAGACGTGCAACAAAATGTAACATCCCTTTGTTCATAGATTCAATGCAGTATCACCATGGTTTTTTAATTTAAGACTTGTATAAAAACTGGCATGATATTGCAGCTATCATGGCAGAGCAGATTTTTCTTCAGGTGGAAACCTAGCTCCCACTGAGCTAAGGGGGCAGAGGGAGATGAAATTAGGTAATTGATGTCTTGGAAAAAGATTTGGCACTTTAAACATCTGCAATTTTTTTCTTTTGGCCTAAGGGGACACAATTTTCGCTCAAAACTTCATGTTCTATGAAATCTTCATCTAGAGTGCTTCTCTTGCTACATGCAGCATCTTAGATACAGATGGCTCTATTTATCAACCATGAGTCAATTCAGATCTTAAAAAGAAAATCCTTCTAACTTCATTCATTATCTTATGAGGAAACATTACAATTTTCATTAGATAAAAAATAACATTTTGTGAGGAATGTTTATTCACCCTTTCTTGCCCCAAGTCTAATTTAATTTTTACACAATATCTAGAAAGGGGACTGTGCCACTATTAGGTCACAGTATCAGTTTAGTCCAGAGCCCAATATACTCTCAGTCCTGGGGGCTATAACTGCCTTAAACTAACTACAAAAAAGAGTATAAAGGAATATATGGGAGGAACATTTCCCCTCATTCATAAATATAATAGCTGTTTCAAGACTTGTGACTCCATAACGGAGTTCAACCAGCAGACCATCAAATGAAGTAGACTCTGCTGTGAGATTCTAAACTGTCTTTCCAAGCAAGCTAACAGGAAGACAAAGTCTGATGTGCCATCACAGAATTTGCATTACAGGCAAAGTATAGCCTTGGACTAGAATAGGGATGGCTTCATGGTGATGTGTAGCACACTATCTCCAACCTTGTGTCTCCTTGTACATTCGCTCCACATTTTCCTGCAACATCTTGCATTGCTCTGGTTGGAGATTCCCAATGATGCTCTGCTTGCGGAGGAATTCCAAGCATAGATCTTTCTCCAGGGCAAATGCATGCATGTTACATGTGAATGTTCTGCAAAGAGACACATGTACATAATGAATGCCCGATTCATTGAGGAGGAGAGGGGAGGGGAAAACCCAGACCCCAGTCCAAACCAAAAAAGACTCACCCAAGCTGTCCAAATGTGATATTCTCTTGAGCAATTCTCTCTTCCCCTCTGTTGGAGCAGGCCATTTGAGCTCTTTCACAGAGAATGGCATCAAAGAAGGCGGCATTCCAGAAGCGAAGGCTTCGCCAAATCAGCTGGTCCTTCAGACACGTGTAAAGGAACTCCTTATAGGCTTCACAACCAGGAACTGCAACTGAAACAGAAATGGACAATTTTATGTATACCTGTATGACCAGCAGTCTGAAAAGTCATACATGCAGGGAATCACAGGTCTGTTTAAAAAATACCCATGCATTGGAGTAACTAAATAAGGAATCACAACAGAAAATAAAACAGGTCAAACTATGAGCAAAAGGATGCTTCAAAATACACAGGCAAAGGTTGTACATGGAAAGCCAGAGAAATATTTAGTGCATGAGGCAGGGAATGACAAGTACTTTCTTAAAGAGAACTGATGGAGACAAAAAAAAAAGAATTTGGTAAAGGAAGGAGCTATATGATAGATTATCATGTAGTCCTTACCTTCTTTAGGATACTTGGAATCATCCCACAGGGTATGGGGATGGGCATATCTTAATAGATCAGGTAGGGTAAAAGACTCAGTGATGGGCCACTTCGCAGGAAAATTCCAAAAACTAGGCATTTGTTCCATGAACACCTCTGAAGTGTCTATGTGCTTAAATGCTGCTAGCATATGTCACAACATGGGTAGGCTTGCTATGGAAGCCTAGCTATTGGAATTTTTATGTACTGTGGCCCATCACTGGGGACCGGTCCATCACTGGGTCTTTTACCCTACATGGATATTCTTTTCCAGCAATTACAAAGCAGGGGTGAAGCCAATACTAAAATGGATACTTTTGGATTAAAGTGATGGAATTTGTTCTGCAAGATAAGATTTCCTTGAAAATAAGCTTCAAACATTTCTAAATGAATTGGACCTGTAGTAGACTAAGCACAGCAGAACAAGATAATAAATTAAAAGTATTCCCATAAATCACCTTATCCAGTACATCAAAATTGCCTAGGTAGGAATTACGGAAAAGTAGCTTCTGTTAAGTTTCTTGTTCATTTTGAAGAAAAGGACAGACCTAATGGCTGTTGCTCTACTCTCTCATCTTGCATCTATATTATATATTCACCAAGAACTTCAATGAATGCATAATGAGGGAAATAATTACCTTCATGATAGAATGTGAAGCACATATTCATCAAAGTCTTGGCAGGTGAGAAGTCATCCGCTTCACAGCATTCGAAGAGGACAATGGCAAAATACTGCACAAGACTGTAGAAAGTGGTCTCATCCACCTTCTTGCAGTGAGCCCTCTTGCTGTTCACAAACCTTGCAAACCATGTTCGACCAGTCTCACCCTATCAAGTGGAAAGCTTTGTTAATCATCTGCTAAGCAATAGTACATAAGTATTGGTAGAATAAAACCTTGCAAGAAAAATGTTATAGGACATTATTATTATAATATCTAGAAATGCTTTTCAGGCCTTACTCGAACCATGTGACCAAATTTGGCCTTAATCTCCAGGCTTATGCTGGTGCTGTCAGCGAAGAGATCATCAACAAACTTCCTCATGAATTCAATGGCTTCAGAATCTTCTGGAGAACTGCCATAGCTGAGGGTAGATGACAGAGACTGCAGGGATGTATCAGATTCTGAAAAGAGAGTATAAGTTTCCATATCATGGAGGCACCATCAGACTGGCAAGACAGCTTCATTGAAAATACTATGTACCAGGAGTACAATCCCCTGCCATAATGGTATAGTTCAATATCATTACCTGAACCTGGGTTGCCATTTCCATCAGCAATGACAGATGTAACACTACTTGTGACTTCATCGCCATCGCTACCAGTTCCACTGTTTGCTGCCTCTGGAAAACATTACCAAACTTTAAGACATGAGTTTGATATTGGAACATATGTTCCACATATATTCTGATAAACATTGGAGGGCTGAACATAGTTAACAGAAACAAGTTACTTTGTATAAGTATGCATAATATATTTTTTCTTAAATACCCTGCAGACAATTCAATAGAACCAAGAGCTTAATTTTATCCAGTGCTTCTTTCTTTCTTCCAAAACTTCACTTCTACAGAACCTCCGCTTTCTTTGATGAACATGGGCATGCTAATCTACTCGCACTTCCCACTATGGATGTCTGTGACACCAACAATGACAGTGCTGCAGGAAAGGGGGACATCTGGCCTGCCTTACGGTATCTTTCACCACTTAGTTTCCAGATCAGTAGAGTCATAATAGAGAGATGAGGAGAATGATGGGGTCAGTATGAAAGAGAGCACCTAGCCCTGCTGTATATCCATATAGTATGTATGAGTATGACTACTTGAGAGCATATCATTCATACATTACCATCCTTACATCCTGGGGCTCATCCTGAGCTGAAATGCCCAGTGCCAAAGCAAGAATATACAGTAATATTTCACTATATGCTCGGGATGCATTCCTGAAAAATTGAGCGTATCAGTGATGGAGTGGATATTTAAAAACCAGCCTGTGACAATTTCAGTGTGCACTCTTTTTTCATGGGACCAGATGCAGCTCACTGAGAGCATTTGATTGCACCCCTGTAGCTATCTTGGCTGTTGAAATATGTACTTTTGAAGCTTGAATTTTTTGGATTTCGCAGACTCTGTCCCAGACAAGAGGATGCAGGGGAAGCAAGAAAAAAAAAAAGTTTTTCCTTTAACGAAGGGTACAAACAATGGAGGAATGCAATTTGGATGACAACTGTGTCCCCAGAGCCACCAATGAGCTTTCTGGGCTGTAAATAGTGCCATTTGATATAAATAATAAAATAGGAGTTTATGTTTATTTTTTGCTGTTTTTTTTACCTAAACTCGGTTTGATGTTGGGTGTCATGGGCTGGTTTTAAAAAATCCACTTATTCATATTTTTCCATAAAATATTATAAACAGCAAACCACATAGAAAAATCTACATTACTAATGAATTCATTTGCTTCATGACAAAACTTAGACCTACCTACAAGCCAAATTTCATAACTTAAGTTGTCCTAATTTCTGAAATTTCAACAATCATCACATATCCAACATAAAAGAGCATAACAAATAATTTCACTTTCGCTTTGACATGGTACTAACAAACTTACATGTTGGCTTGATTCAGGTCTCCATCTCACATCAATATTAGAATTCCCCAGAAGGCATCAAATTGATATATTTTGTCTAAGAACAACTAAGACATCATAACATACCCACCTGGCACTTTTGTAGTATCCACATTGGATGATTTTATTCCATCTGCCTTCAGAATCATTTTGTCACACTCCATAAAACTATTCACACCTGTATTTGACTCTTCTGAATCTACAGAGGATTGGGAGGTTCCAGTACTGTTAATATTTGCTTCTCGCTTTTCCCTTCTTCTCCTAGATAAACTGGAGTAGTCTTCAAAACTCAGAGGAGTTTTTAGCTGAGGTAAGCGAAGCTTCCTTGTGAAGGGATTGGAAGAATGTCCCTCCTTTGTTACGCCACCATTTTTATTGCCACCATTTCTCATGGCAGAGTCTGATGCTGATTCTAGACGCATGTCACTAATGGCTGCTTCAATCTTGGAGGATATACCTGATATCAAGTCATTGCATGTGGGAATGACTGACTTGAAAACATTTTGGGATTTTTCTGAGGTGATTTTGTTGGGGGGCTGGTGTCTTGGTGCAGCAGGGGCACTTTTTTCACTAGCTGCCTCACTGCCACTGAGGTAATCAAACATTAATGCAGTGCAATGTGCTTTCATTTTTCCACTATCTAGGGGGAAAGAAAAGGAAGAGAAACAAAGAAAATGCCATCCACTACATCAACACCACCATAACACCATAAATATAAGGAAGAGTCTAGTAACATATATGGACTTCTAAAGAAGAGAAAAACATCTGAACCAAAATGCCAAAAACCACCATCAATGGGGAAGAGTTCTCCACTCTGAGTCAGTGCTGCATACTCAGATGCTGGGCATTTCCCTAAACTTCTAAACTTTTCTGTGTTAAAAACTGAAATTGAAAAATGTGAAATTCTGCTGTGTGGTCCATAAAAGAAAAAGAGACCTCGGCTTTCTGAAATGGGACAGTTATTTTACAGGAGCCTTGCATCATGATAACAAGATAGGCTCAAAGTTTTCTCTTATTAGCTCCTTAATGATACACAATCGGATGCTTCAACCAGAAAAAAGTGGGGAAAATGCATGGCATTGCCATACATGACCATGTGGATGTCCTTAGAAAATGGAAATGGATGTAGTAAAACATGTGGATGCATGGAGTAATGTTTGACAGTATATATTTGTACATGTGAGGGTATGGATATTCATCCATGGTTGCAACACAACATGCAGTGAATTCATGTAACTGTCTAGCACAAACTCCAATGTATGTTCACATGCATTAGGCAATGTCTTATGGTATAATGGTACATGTATAAGGTTGCACACATCACAACATACATTGAATTTATGTAACTATGTATCACTAATTAATATCAATTTTGTCAATACAAGTCCAGAACCTAATACCTCAGAGGAGTGAGGGAGCATAGCATCATGAATGCTGTTATACTTTTATAAATATTATTTGCCTCTGAAAGGTCTAGAATATGTGCAGGCCTGCATTGCCAGCTATTTTAGCCATTCTTGCTGAGACATGTGTGTATATGCATGTGTGTGCTTATATCTGCTTGATGACTCCCAATAACATCTAACTAGAACTAGAACAAAAAATTGCTGTAGTTGGCCCATAATTTACTTAATGAGAAGGCATCAGCACATAATTTCCACAGGACTAAGTCTATGCTCTGCAGCCTGGATATACATGCATGAATGGAGCCACCTTCCCTACAATCCAGATCCATCAGCTGAGTTTTGATGCTTCCCAAAACTGCAACTCAAACTCTGTGGAAACCAATTCAACTCTTCAGTTAATCTTACCTCACAAGTAAAACAATTCCTAGATTCCATACTGAAACAATATATCATTACCTGTTTTCAATAATCAATTCAGAGCTTTGCCATTGCATAGCTGCTTCAGGTCCATTAAACAAATAAACACTGGGACTCGGGTTTTGTCTGCCAATAAATACTTTTTCAGATTAAATGGGTGACTGCAAGGACTCCTGGGAAACCTCTTGTAAACAGTCCACATATAAGCAAAGAATTACCTACAAACCATCTGGCCTTTTTGATGTAGTCTTCTGTTAAGGAGGCCTGACCCCAGGAATGAGATGAATATAAAAACTTTAAATTGTGGATTTGTGGTAAATATTTTTTCAGTGAAGGTTACCTTTCCAGTTGACCCTTATATTCATACATGGGAACAGCCACACATGTTGAAATTACATGAATGTGTCAAAACTTTTAGTGTCAGCATAAAAATATAGACTGGGTTATGCATTCTTTGATGAGGAGTAGATAGGCTGTACAAGAAAATGATTTTTACATGAAGGTATGTAGAAAGTTGTGGCTCTTTCATGGTTGGCATTTATGTACACAGTTCACTCTACATGATGGAAAATTCCAGAGACCAGTGAATTTTATTCAATAATCTGATATTCCAATAAAAAAAAAACCTCTCATGCTGTACTTCTGGCCATTTTTAAGTAATATGATATAGTGCCTGTTTACAGGCATTTGTTAGTATTTCAAATGCTTTTTACATATTTTCCCATGCTCAATTTTTCTGTCCAGTTCCTTTTAATCTTTTTATTTCCATGCATTTGTATTTTTCAGTTATCTTCTGTACATACTGTATTTTCTTCATAGCACTTTACAATATTTTTTATAAATTTATATTTTTGCTTTTCTTCAGTACAGTTATTCACTTTTCTACTTTATTTTCCTTTATTTGCTTTAATCTGATGGACATTTGGTATTGCAACCTTTCAGGTCAAGCTGATGTTTTCCCCATGGTCCCATAGTCAAATCAGAAGGTGCAGATCTGTTAATAGCAGTGTAGGAAATAAAAAATTATCCCATGAACCTGAGGCAACAAATTGGAATTTCCCAGGAAGAATGTGCAAGTGGACTAAGCAGGCCACCTGCCTGTGTGTCTCTGTTCCTGTGAACCTTGTTCGCAGGGGTTTTCCTAACTTTATTGTCCAGGCAGACTTGCTTCTGTATTCACCTAAAAAGGCAGGCTTATTTGCCTGGTTTGTGCATCACCAGCCTATATTTATACTCATATTTCTAGGAAAGGGTCTGGTTGCATTCCCTCTTGCTCCTGCCCTCAGTTAGGGAAAGTCAAGTGACAGATTCTCAAGACCTTGGTTCCATGAGGCAAGGGTGGAACTGGGAGGATGGACTGGTGGGGGGGACTTTCCAAGAATGTAAATAAGGCAAATTAAATTTTTTCAACAACTTAAATATATAATCATTTCCCAGTAAAGTTTACACCTTTCCAATCAAGTTTATACCTATTCTAATATTTATATATCTTTGTGCAATATTTTACATAATACATCTTATGGTTAAAATATTTGGGACTATGAAATAGTAAAGCAGTATTTTAACAAGTGGAGTCAACAGCATTAACACTTAATTAGTGTCAATGTAATGTGTAATGGGTCAAGTAGGGGTAGCTATAAAGAGGGGTAGGATAAATATCAACAAATAAAATGGCTAACAATATGAAATTTAACATGAAACAATACAAACAATGTCTTGTGTTATAGTTCCTGCAAGTAAAGCTCGATGGCTCTGTTCTAGGCAAGAGGGATGCATTTTTAAGAACTGTAGGAAACCAGACCAACAATTATGCTATACATGTGGACATGAGATAAGATGTGGTGCGATAGGATACTATCAAGCATGGGAAGCTCTTGGCTCATGAGTAAGCTTCCACTCTGGAATTCTGGTATCCCTCCCCCTCCATATCCCCCCCCCTCTCCCATCTAAGATCCAAATTACCTCTAACTTTGGGACCCTCAATTTGGCTGAAGTGGTTACTGTTGGGATGTCACCAAGGCTTGGACTTCATCATTGGGATTCTTTAAAATCCCACATCTAAGGGCAGGAATGCCATATGCTGAATGGTCTCCCTCCATAAATACTCAGGGCCATGCACTCAGAAATAAACACCAGATTTGGTTCTCAGACTTAGTTAGAATCAAATCTGAGTTCCCTGGCCCCTGGTTAAAAATGGGTAAGATACTGCTAAAGTAGTATATTTTGACCAGCATGCATTCGTTGGTGGGACCTAGGCCCATTTTTTCTTATCAAGGGATGAGCACATGAATAGCCACCCGCTGTGTAATGTGTGCGTCTATATCAATTACACTTGCATCAACCTTGTGAGCTTACAGTACATCTAGGCCTATCAATTTCATTATCAATCCCAGCAAGGAAGATTTTCAGGCGATATGGGAACATGATAAATCGTTAAATACCCAAGGAAAAGGTCTTTAATGGTAAAAACTACCCTGGAAGACCATTTGAGTTCTTAAGCCAGGACATCGATTGCTTGGAAACTTCACTCAGCCTTAAGTCTACGCTATAATGCATCCGCGAAGAGGGCTATTCCATTGGTATTATTTTTGGACCTAATGGTGCCAAAATAAAGCCGAAAAAATGCTCTCTTTTTTTGGTGCCGCTTCAACTGGATTTGGGATAAGGTACAGGTGTAAGCGGCCGCAGCCTACACCTGGACCTAGGACTAGATGAGTGATCTGCAGCATCCTTAAGGGAACAACATTATCTGTGGTAAGGTCTATCATGGTGGAGGGCAGAAAACCTGCTTCTTTGACAACATACACGCTGAGCGGGAGTGAACTGGAGATATTGCAAAATCCATACGTGGACTGGAAGCTGCCATGTTAAGATAGCAAGCAGTAACAGGTTGTCAGCCGAATCAGCAAACGAAAAGCCGACAAGTTGACAAGCAATTGAAGCAGATACGGTGGTCCAGTCTCCCAGATCTGCCGTCAATCCTAATCTAATCGCTTACAGACCAAAGGGCGGGTCGGCTCATTTATTTCTCTCTCTTACAATCTCACCTGTTGACTTCTTACTTATTTATATGGTCTAGTTAGGCAACATGATCATATTTCTGGGTCATTCTGCTCTCGAGATCGTGAAATCGAAATCCTGGCAGGAAATTATTTACTCATTTCATTCCTAACGCAGTTCTTGTTCCCCATCGCTGATGGGGAAGTTGCGACAAAGCTCTACATTTTTGCGAGCTAAAGCATTTATTTCGGACAAATTATCCCATGAATATCGGTTATTCTGTCACTTCCACCACGATGGACGTCGTATTAGGAGTCTCATCGAAGTAGAAACATTGGAAATGGTTTTCCACACTTCCAAAAAAACGTATCAGAGATATGGCGTTCGTGTATCCCGTATACTGGACCATCACTGGACGAAAATCACAAGTGATTGGAGTATGTAACCGAGGCTTCCACCTCATCAACAATACTCATCAAAAGCAGGTCGACCTGCAGCAAGCAAGTTGGCGCCGAACCGGTCTTGCGGAATTTCTCGATCTCGAAGTTCTGGATTGTGGTCTTGGGAGGTGCAGCTGCACGGCGATGAAATTGTTTTTAAATAGATTTATTCACAATAAAACTGGGTCATAAGCTCGATTGAGTTCACTGAAATTCATTCACCTAAATTCAGGAAGGAGAGGCGATCGTCGACGATGCACTGTAGCAGCCAGCAAAAACCGATGTCGCGGAGTATTTTCGCCACTAGAAAGACACTTTGCGGGGGAAAATGGTCATTTTGGATTACCAGTACATTTTCACCTATGTAGGGCTTTCTAACCCTCCTGGGATTCGCCGTCGCACCATCGCATATCGGTTAATATGTTAAATCTCATTATAACCCTTTACCACATCGTTTTAACTCAGCTCGTTCAATATGCCCATCATCTAAATCGATCCACATGGTAATACGATGCAGCATTTCTAGCACAACTTTCCTGCGTATGGGAGGTGCGAAGAATCGACGAGCCGCTATTACACGACCATACACGACATCTTAACCGGCCACTCGGTAGGGATTCCGACAGCGCGAATCTCACCCCACACCACTCGCGTTCCCACGGCCGACCGACCGCCTCGCGAGTGCCCCGGGGGCCCGGCAGCGACACGACAAGCGCACGCCCCGACGCCGCACCACCAACTGACGCAGCGGCGGAGGGACGGGGGTGATCCTCCGTCCCCCCCGACGAGTCTCCGATGGACCTCGGGGGTTTCCGCCTCCAGTGAGCCCTGGCCATTTGCTGGAGGAGGAGCGAAACGTTTTTTAACGTAAATTTTTTTTTTTTCAATACCGTTTCGCGCACGCAGGAAATTAGCACTCGCAAAAATGCTTGAGCAATTGTGAAGGGAATTTTTTTTTTAGCTTTCCGCAAACGATGTGTTTGTCGTTCTCCTTCGAACCGAATTTCCTGGACAGAATCCATCTCTTTTCAGATTATTGCTCAGCAAAACATGTCACGGCGAGTTGGTAACGTTATACATCGAATTTCGTGGAGTTTTCAAGCGTGAATAAGGATCAATCTCCATCTAGTTGAAAAATAATTTTTTTTTTCGCAATGACTTGGGAAAAAGCAAGCGATTTCGAACATGATTGGTAATGTTCCTCATGGAACGCAGACTGAGTTGCGGGAATGCGGAGACGGCGGACTTCGCGCGTCCTTGGACATGAAAAAACTAAATTCATAACACAGATTCGAACGAAGATGATGACTCGAGCGTTTTTTCAACGGAAAGAGACGTGTTTTGGAGCGATGAGGGCCTCTGAACGTCGCAATAAATTGAAATCAATTAAATAGCTTGCGTTCTGAGCTTCTCCTCGACGACCTTGGGTATTTTGCACCGGCCGACGCTGATGTATTCTGTACAACGAAAGGGCAACGAGGTGTGAAAAAAAAAGTCCAGATTGATTCGACGGAACCTCAAACTGCATCCGATTTTATTGCGCAGCCGTGAGTAAAACAAAATCGTGTTAATATTCAGTGCGAATTCGCATTTAAGTGGCTGCAGTGGTCCGACACAAGTTTCTGTCTGGTACATTTTCCCCAGGGGAGCAAAGAGTACGCCGGGAAGGAAAAATTTGCAGCCACTCCGGAAATGGGACGCGATAGCCGGCTTGGTCAGGGACGGTCCGAGGGGAGAGCCCTTTCCCGAGCCAGGATGTGGATGGAATGGCAGGGCGATTGCGGCTTTCAAAGCTAGAGGCTCTGGTCAGTTGCTACAATCAGGGGGAGGGGGGAAGGGGGGGAGGGGGGGAAGGGGTTTGGAATGCTCTTGCTTTTTTTGTAGATGAAAATGGTTGCGGGATTGCCTTCGACCGTCTCGTAGCCGTGAATATAACACGTATAATTGTGCATCGTGAGAGTTCGCAATGGAATCAATGGCTTGCTCGTTTGCATAGGAAGCAAACGAGAATGCTGAATGCTCTGACTCGTCCTCGATCGTTTCCTCCCCGACTGTTTTGATAACTTTGTGATGTCGGGAATCTCACGGAGCCATCCCTTCCTGGAGCTAGATAGTGATTTTATGAAGCAAAGTGAGCGAGTGCCCGCTTTCCATGTCAAGCAGGGAGTGGCTTCCGACCGGGAATGGGTGCTGGCTGTGGGAAAAAAAAATCCACGGCCGGATTTCAGATTTCAGATAAGATTTCAGCCGCGATATGCAGAACGCGCTCCAAGTCTGCCTATGCAGAACGCGCTCCTGGTTTGCCTATTCGATGATCAGACCCTGCCTATACCGCCACGCTAGTACATATGTAAGGTTCTCAAAATGAGACCAGAAGAATCCCAGATCGTTTGCGGAAAAATGAATTTCGGTCCAAGTCGCTGTATCTCTGGGCAACTCTAGGGAACACGGGCAAACAAGAGTGCAGTTTTAAAATATTCAATGTTAAAGAGACAGCATTAGCATGGTCCGACGAAATTGTCCGTGAGGGTATTTTCCGGGGAGAAGCCTCCCCGTGCGGGAATCATTCGGAGAAATCCCTGAATTTCAATCGCATAGAGCAGGGCTTCCCAACCCAGGGGTCGCGATCCCATTTGGGGTCGCAAAGATAATATTTGGGGTCGCGAACCGGCAACTAAATGCAAAGTTACGTTTTTCTTTGCGATTTTAGCGCATAGGTAGGGGAGCTCGTCTAACTTCGCTCAGTGCATGGGGTCGTGAATAGCACGGAAGTGATTTTTGGGGTCGCGCGTGAAAAAGGTTGGGAAGCCCTGGCATGGAAGAATGATCCTAGTTGTGACAAAATGGGTTAGCTTTTGCCTGTTTTCCCGTTCACACGAATTTTGTGGATGGTCATGACGAAATGAGGGTCTTGGAGATTCTTTAGCAGACTTTATTTAAAGTTGAAAAATTTTGGAACAAATGGTTGTTTTCAATTTATTGGACAATTTTCCCTTTTATTGATCGTAGTTCATACGCTTGCAAATAAGTCTAGGTATATCAACATTTCTTTCTTATCGCAGGAAAATTAACAGCCGCCCCCCTGCAGCCACCAAAGGAAAAGTTACGGAAATTCCAGCCCCCTTAGGCGCAGTACTGGTTACGCCACTGTTCACGAAGCAACATATGTGAGCGTCTTCTTAACGTTTTCAATGTTCGCGGAATTGTTTGCTAGTTCATCATTCACATAATTTTGAAGGAGCTGAAAACGTGCTCCGTTCATTCGTTACGGTTTTGTGCGATTGTGCGTAGATGTGAACACACGAGTCTAACATTTCCAGCAACACCTGTGACAGAAATTCACTTGGGGTACTTTATGAACCGCTTACAGAGGTAGAGTGGCCACGAGAGGTTGTTTGCAATGCAGGCAGGTTGTGTGACTGCATGTCACCCTGTTCCGCGAAAGCTTCCCGGTTCCCTCCACCCTGGAAGACTTTGCGGAAAGATCGCATTTCACACCAAGACTTGCAACCCTCAAAAGCAATTAGCTCCTGCTTCACACAGAGTATGTCGAGAGTCCACAGCTCAGCAATCAAAGACCCCACCATTGCTGTATAAACGTTTGCTCATGCCAAGGCGCATAGAATAAAAAGGTGAAACTTGAATATGGTGATGGTTTTTCCCTACCTTAATGTGTTGTTTCTTTCTCATTCACAGTTTGAAAAGAAATACCTGTTATGATACTTGGGTAGCCTTGGGGAAAACTCAGTAAATATACTTCTGCAGTGTTTGAAAATGGTGTGCAGAGTATGAGGGGTAGGACAATGGAACTTGGGGAACAGTTGAATGAAGTACATGAAAGAAGACAAACAACATTCTGGAGTTGCATGACTATGGAGTGCTTGACCAGATCACCTTCTTGCAGCATGGTGCTCTCCACACCACATGACAATCCAGAGAAGGACCTGGTCAGAGTAAACTTTGGCAACAGAGGTAGCAATAGGCAATTCTGGAGAAAAGGTTTCTACTCCCTGATCTCACTCTTGTTGACCTTTGGCTGTGGGGCTTTCTGAAGGCATGGAGCTGCTGGGACACACCCACAACACTACCGGGGCTTGTTTCATGGAAGTTACAAGTTCTACAAGTTACAAGTACTTACAGGGGTCATGTCATAGTCTTGTGAAGATTTAGCAGGACCAGCTGGAAAGAGTTAAACAAGAAGACATGACCCTTGCAAGTACTTGTAACTTGTAGAACTTGTTTAAATTCCATGAAACAGGCCCCTGGAGTTAAAGTGTGCATTAGACAAGGTGTCCACCTTTTACTCTTGGCTATCTTACATGCTGCTGTTGAGAATGATACTCCAGGTCTGGAAGCAATGAATGCTACCAGTGAAGCACACTTCAAGCTTCTCTTTAAGCAATCCAGACAGACCAGAGGCTTCTGAATGATGGGATAGTAGCACCCTCATAACCTCATGACCCTCAATCAACATTGTCATATTCAATTAACATTGTCATATTGTCACATTCTTTTGCATCGTCCCAGGTTTCATTTTCTTACAGTGAGTGTGAGCACACCGATGTCAAACACCACGGAAGGGACTCAATAATCACATGTGCTTTTCACTTTCATTCCTGAAAATCCTTCAGTGAAAATTGTTCTAGTAAACTCAGAAAATACTTCTTGAGTGTTCTACATAAGTATTTATTATATAGACACAGTTTCAAGATCAAAAACAA